CCAGTCCATGCAGTAGAATCAAAACCCAGTGCCATTATCATTCTCTTCTCAGTCAGCCTTCATTGTCAGCCACATTCAGAGAGTTTGCTTTGGTCACATGCTCGTTCAGTCCCCATCCAGCTGGCCTTGGTGAACTCCCATTAGATCAGTCCCACCATCTCCATGGGTGGACTCACTGCTCGCGATCTTGACTTCCTTGCTCATGTTCTCCCTCCTTCTGATCTTCATTTGGACTTTGGGAAGTGAAGCTCTTATAAGGACCTGGTTATTGTTTTATATGGCCTGAAGCAGTAGTTTCAACCTTCCTTATGTTGTGACCCTTTATATAGTTCTTCCTGTTGTGGTGACCTCCAACCATAAAATTATTTGTCACTACTTCATAACTGCAATAGTGCAGCTGTAATGAATCATAAGGTAAATATCTGATAGTCAGATATCTAGTATCTAAAAAGGGGTTGTGATTCACATATTGAGAACCACTGGTCTAAAGGGACAAATGGCTTGTTACTAATGCAAGTAGTTTGGATGGTTCTTTATTTTGACTGGTGTATTATGCTATATAATCATTTCTCAATTGCATCCTGTTTTCCGTAGAGCAATGTATTTTAAATATATGCATGCTAAATTGTGCATAGATACAAGGTGATCAGTAGAGGTTTCTATCTACAGGTTACTAGAGGACACATTTTTTTCTTTCTGTATGTTTGTTCAACACTGGTTCAGGCTGTATCACTCTTTCCATTCCTAATACTCAGATAAACGGAGAATCCATTTAAATAGTTTTTAATTTGATTATTGACAAAGAGAAAAAAACTGAAGTAACAAGAGGCTAAAGGCTTCTACCTGAGGGCAACTTTGGTGGTCACTGAGCTCTTGGTATGTCAAGTTTCAAACAAAGTACAGAGCAAAGCAAAACACTATGGCTCTCACATCCACATGTTCCCATATCAATAATAGTAACTGTCCCAGCAGTTGTTGGTCAAAAGCAAACTTGTTGAGGAAACAGATTTTTTTTCACAGTTTGTTATGAAAATTTTATAGTTATGCATTATTTTATTCCATTCTAATTATTATATATCATTCCAAACTTTTCTTTTGTATTCTATTCTAATCACAATAGGGTCAGGTCAAATAAGGGTGGAACCAAAGTGAAAAGGAGAAAATAATTGAAAACTTGATCAAGAATGACAATAATTAAATGGAATATAAACAATGGAGTAAATTTGTTACTCCAGGCCGAATCAATAAATACTAAATAAAAAGTATGTTTCAAACTGTGGTCAATTATTTCCACAAGGATATTGCTGAATGATGTTATATGCTCTCATGATTAACGTGAAGTTTACACCACATTAGGAACTCTTGTTACAGTAGCCACATATCTGCCAAGGCAGCTAAAGGCAAGCAATGTTTCTTCAGACTCAGAGTCTGTGAGAACTGTCCATCCCAGCAGCTGCTTGCCGCTGTGTCCATGGGAACTTGAGGCTGTTTGTTCACATCTTAGCAGCTCAAAAGTGGAGAGAAGGCGATGCTGGATCTCTGTTGGCTTTATTCTATTCCCCACCTCATTCGATCGAGGGTCCAATCTATGGAATGGTTTTAGCAGCATTCATGGTGTGTCTTTTTACCTCAGTTAACCCTCAGGGAAAACCTTCCCGGACACACCCTAAAGTGTGCCTCATTACTGCCATGGTGTTTCTTACCCTCTTCACTTAGACAACAGAAATCCTGACTTCACTTTAGGAGCTAAGTGTCGTGAACTAGGCAAAGGCCATCACAAGATTCCTTGCTAGCAGTCCCATGTAATGTATATTTGTCCCTGTTTTTCTTTTTGTTGTTGTTGTTGTTGTTAATTCTTTTATGTGTAAAATAAACAGCGGGCTGCATTTCTACCCACCACCCAGCTAGCTTTACCTGAAATAATTACACGAAAACTGTATTCTTTTAAACACTGCCTGCCCCATTGTCTTCAGCTCCTTATTAGCTAACTCTCACATATTAATTAATCCATTTCTATTAATCTATATCGCCACTTGACTGTGGCTTACTAGGATGAGTCTAACTGGCGTCCATCTCAGAGAGGAGAGCCATGGCGTCTGCCTGCCTCTGCTTTCTTTCTCCCAAAATTCTGTTCTGTCTACTCCACCTACCTAAGGGCTGACCTATCAAAAAGGCCAAGGCAATCTCTTTATTAACCAATGAAAGTAACACATAGACAGATGACCCTCCTCCATCAACTATGAAGCATCATTTTAGGGTAAATGAGAGAATCATTTTGATTTTTGTTTTCTCACAATTTAGAGTTTTGTCATAATTCTATTCTTTCTTTAATTAGAGTAGCTGGTTGACAATGCTCACTATAAAATATTTTTCCAACAGTGCTGCTCTGAGTCGGGCAGTCCTACTTACTATAAGTATCTGTACTAAAATTCATCTGTGAAGGTGAGAGACTCTTGTGAGTCCCAGATTATAGACTTTCATTCTTCTCTATGTCTCTAGGTACACTGTAGCTGTTGAAGAAACTGCTCAAGTTTTGGTGAAATTTTGTAGATTTCTGTTTTCATATTCTGGGGGTGAACTGAAAGGAGGGCAGGTGATTTTTCTTCATTTTACACAATGAGAATGAATTTCAAAAACAACTTTATATTTTATCTATATTCTTAAATGGTATACTTTACAAGAAGAGAAAATTCAGCTGTTTGAATTATATTTTTATTGCTGTGAAGAGACACTATTACAATGCCAACTTATAGAAGAGTTCCTTGGGTTTTTTCTTATAGTTTGAGATGGTGAATCCATGACCCCCACAGCAGGGAGCATGGCAGCAGGCCAGCATGGTTCTGCAGAGTTGCTGAGAGATTATATCTTGAGACAACCAAGACCAGGCAGAGAGAGAGAACTAACTCAGAATTTCAAGGCATGGGATTTGAAACTTCAAAGTCAACCCGAAGTGTCATGCCCTTCAACAAAGCCATACTACTTCATCCTTGCCAAATAGTTCCACCAACTAGGCAACAAGCATTCAAATATATGAGCCTGTAGAAGGAGCAGCGGGCTGCATTCCCGCCTGGATCTGGGCTAGCTTACTCCCCAAATAATTACATGGAAACTGTATTCTTTTAAACACTGCCTGACCCATTACCTCCAGCCTCTTATTGGCTAACTCTCACATATTGATTCAACCCATTTCTAATAATCTGTATCTCACCACGAGGTCGTAGCTTACCGGGAAAGATTCAGCATGTCTGACCTGGCAGCTTCATGGCGGGCAACTTTCTGCCTTTGCTTCTTTCTCCCAGCATTCTGTTCTGTCTACTCTGCCTTTCTAAGTTACTGTCCAATCAAAGGCCAAGTCAGTCTTTTTATTATCCAATGAAAGTAACACATAGACAGATTATCCTCCTACATCATGAGCCTATGGAGATTTTTCTCATTCAGAAAACCACAAACCTATATCTTTAAATTTACCTAAATGAATGCTACTACATAGCCAGAACTAGACACTCTTTACACAAAATCAAACAACTGGGAATTTTTAAATAATGCCTATTATTCTAATATGCCTCTGGATGCCAGTTTTATAACTTTACAAGTGACATTATATACCAATTCCCCTTCCACTTTACTTCAAAATTTACATCATATCACAAACCATCTCATGTTGTACAAGTGACTTTTATTGCTTCTATGGTAATAATTTATATCAAAAGACTTTGCTCACTAAGATAATATTGATTTTTTTAGGCCATTTGTTAACCCTTTCATACACTGGTAATTGCATTTTTGATGTTTTGGGGAGTGTTTCCTATGTAAGGTCACTAACCACTGTGCAAACTATACCTGAATATTTTGATTTTGCTACCAATTTGACTGTGATATTTTATTTTATTTTTGTGATATTTTAAATGATTGTGTTCTAGGACTCTATATTATCAAGCCAAAACTTCCAAAGAAATATGAAAAAAATTAAAGAATTACTTTTAAATTATAAATATTGGGGATCATGGGTATGTCCAAGTGAGTGCAGATGCCTGCAGAGCCCAGAGGCTTCTGATGTCCAACAGCTAATGTATTACATGCCTGTCAGACTACAGACAACGGTGCTAGGAACTGAGCTTAAATACATTTTCTCTTCACCACCAAGCACTCTCTCCAGCTACTGAAATTTGAAATTTTGAAATTTTGATAATCCATTTCTCAACAAGTATTGAGGCTGAATATAACTCTTAACACGTCATGCATATAGTAGCAACTGATTTGCCATTCTCTTTAAATTAAAATAGTACTTTTCCACTTTATAAAATACTCATCCTTAAAGATTCAGCTGAAGTATAAGTGCATCCTTCCCTTCCCCTGGCCAGTCCCTTTCTATTCCTACTTTCCTTTCATGTCTTTGCTACAGACATCACCTCACTCTGATTCCTCAGGTTAGGAACTGAGGCAGAGCTTTGTTTTTAAATCGTTGATGAACTCTCACTTTTCATCCATCTTAAGAACTCTAACCCTATGGTTCCATCCACAGGCTGAGACAATATCATCCCTGACACGCTTTCAAAGAGATTTAAAATGAACCCAAAGTCTCATCTTTGAACTTGACTTCTTGCCCACTCTGTGGTCCACACAGTGAACCGAAAGATCCCCACTTCAGTGATCATAATTCCAACATCATTTTTCTTTAGCCTGTTCTTCCAGACACCTAGTTCAGCAACCTTCATCTAGCTTCCTCCTGACACACATGTGCTATGCCTACTACCATTACATCATTAATTTTAAAATATTACATTTTGTCCCATTTTTTAAAAGCTCAAAATATAATTGTTAACAACTGGGTCCAGTTCTTCATGAGTATCACTCTAATCAATGGAACAATGTTCTATGGGCGGTATATCACACCATTATCTCTTGACCTGTGTGTTTTTGTAATTTTGGAAGTTAATATTTGATTTATTTCATATCTGAATTGTTACTCAACTGAGTAAACTTTCAATCTCCACTGAGCAGCCTGGGAAAGCACACCATGGCATCTGAGAAGTGAACTGTGGCAGTTTTTCTGCTTCAGCTGTGCTGTGATGGCTGCGGCTTCTACGGCAAGGTCCTCGTGTGGCCCTGTGATATGAGTCACTAGCTGAACCTAAAGACAAATCTTGAGGAGCTTGTGCAAAGGGGGCATGAGGTGACAGTGCTGAAATTCCCCAGTATCATCATGGATCAGCACAAACACTCTGCACTGCACTTTGAGAACATCCCTGTGTCACAAGAGAAGGACATTGCCGAGAACTATTTAAACGAGCTAGTAAATGTAGCTCTGAATATCATTCCAAACTTGTCACTTTGGCAAGGAGCAAAAACATTGCAAGATTTCTTTATTCAACTGACTGCAGTTTTTGAAAGTCTCTGTAGGAGTACATTGTACAACCAGACATTCATGAACAAGCTCCGGGATGCAAAATACGACTTGATGGTCATAGACCCCGTCATTCCCTGTGGAGAGCTTGTGGCCGAGGTGCTTCAGGTCCCTTTTGTGAACACTCTGAGATTCAGCATGGGATCTATCCCGGAGAAATACTGTGGCCACCTTCCAATTCCGCTCTCCTATGTACCCGTTGTCATGAGTGAACTATCAGACCAAATGACCTTCCCAGAAAGGGTGAAAAATGTGATGCTGTCACTGTTTTTTGAATTTGGGCTCCAGCAATATGACTTTGCATTCTGGGATCAGTTTTACAGTGAAACACTAGGTAAGAGACTGCATTTCAAGCTAAGCTAGTTGTTAATATTTTAAAGCTTAGGAAATGTTTAAATACAATGAAAGGAATGCATTTTATAAACTTTGTGTCCATGTAAAATTTTACAAGTGAAAGACTAAATTGTTTATTTGTACTTACTGGGGAAGTAGAATGAAATCATTTTACTATTATTACCTTTGTTTTTAATTGTTAAACTCTTTGATAGTACTTTGAAATGTAACAGATCATTATCAATTTTAAAAATGATGTACAGATAAATTTCAATAGAATAGAACATGATTTTATTTGCCAGATAGGAAAAGATAATTAGTTCCCACTCTATTTCTGTATCTTTTCAAGGATGGTATGGCTCTTAATGGTAAACAATATACTGTAGTTGAAGTAAGAACTATTTATGCCAGTCATAAGATGAAATATAAACAATAATGTCAGGATGAGAATAATTCAATGTCCATTACATACCTCTAAATTTCAATCCACAAATATTTTCAATTGCAAATTATTTATCTAAAAGTCTATATCACTCCATCAATTGAGGTACCTATTATCTTAATAAGTCTGCAAATAAAGGAAATCATGAAGGCTATGATTAAAGCATCCTTGGCCATCTAGCACAATCAAATTTATTAACATATTTTGTATACCAGCATGTCTTTCTGTTTGTTATTTAGTATATCATTTAGATTCTAGTTAAGAAAAAAACTAAATGGAAAGATAGACTCAGTCTCAAAGTGAACATCATGTTGCAAGACAAAATTAGTCATTCATTAGAAAGCAGAGTGAAATAAAAAATAAAGTATAAGCCCTTGGAGAGGTGAAAACTTCAACTGTGCTTTAGCCTCTGAAGTAATCAAGACTTTTAGAGATTGATATTGTTTCCAGGTTTCTGTATTTCACTGCCTGAGGTATATTCCAGCATTGTTTTTACCATGAAAATGTATTAGGAAACTGTCCCAGTGACTGTGACAAATTTTCACCATTTTAAAAAGGGTTATATTTCTCAAAACTCTGTACGATCAAAGTTCAACATCAAGCACTGCTTCGCCTTGAATTTAATTCCAACATTTACTTTACTTTAATTCCAAACATTACTTTCCAATGTTTGGATGAGGCAGATGCTTCCCACTGCTCATGTGGGGGTCAGAGGACAGCTCTGAGTCAGGTGAGTAAACACTGGTGACAAAGCAAGAACCTTTATCTTGTGTCCATCTCAGCAGGTCCAGGGCTGGTTTGGCTCAGACCTGTTCCCTCGTCTTGCAGACAGCTTCTTTCCCTTGTATTACTTAACCACCTCTCTGAAAATATGTCTATGGTTCTCTTTTTAGAGAGATGGCAGCCATGACCAATTAAAGTCCCAGATCTCAATCCATGTCATAAGTAAAATATGACTAGTGGCTTGACCTCAACTTTGGCTGAGAGATAATTGGAAAACAAGAGATCAAGATAAATTACTGTCCACCTTTGCCACAGGAACTGTGAGTGAAGCCTATCTTCTACTCAGCAGGGGCTCATTGGAGGGGCAGGCATCTTAGTGTATGACAGTAAAGTTTGCCATTATTCTCCCTGTAATTAAAAATTATGAGAGGACATTCATTTTATTTAATCTTTACAGCAGGTAGGACAATTAATTGGTTTTTCTTCTTTGCTAGCTTACATAACACCTTCAATACTGTGAAAGAAAGCCCTTAGAGAGGAGTATTCCAGGGCAGTTCTATTTGGATTCCTCTACATTCTATTTGTAGAAGGAGTGGTGGGCCGTGTTCCTGCCACCCAGCTCTCGGTTAGTTTACATCCAAAATAATTACACGGAATTATTCATTTTAAACACTGTATTTATTTTAAACACTGCTTGGCCCATTAGTTTTAGCCTCTTATTGGCTAACTCTCACATCTTGATTAATCCATTTCTAATAATCTGTGTAGCACCACGAGGTGGTGACTTACCAGGAAGGATCTTAACCTGCATCCATCTTGAAGAAGAGAGCTATGGAGTCTGATTCAGTGCTTTCTTCCCAGCATTCTCTTCTGTCTACTCCACCCACCTACGTTCTGACCTATCAGGCCAAGCAGTTTCTTTATTAATCAACCAATGAAAGCAACACATAGAAACAAGACCCACCTACATCATCTATTTCAGACTTGTACAGTCTCTTCATTCACAGGATCTTTGAGATTTTATGAGTCACTAATAGCAAAACATTATATTGTGTTAGGTATCTCCTGAACTCCTATAGAACAACAATTTGAAGAAAGTTTTCCCATTTCAGGAATTGGGATATTTGTTAGCTAGTTTATTATTCTTATGGGGCTTCGAGTTATTATCACTCTGTGTGCTTTGTGGCAAAATTATATATGTGTATGTGAAGAAATACACTTTTGTGCATTTTTGAGTAAGCTTATGAAATAATGTTTCTCTATTGCTACCACGATTTGCTGTCAGTTGTTTTTTTGATCTTAGTCATTGAAATTGGGGTAGGATGAAATAACTAAATAGTTTTAATTGTCATTTTTCTAATGGTTAAGGATGTTAAGCACTTTTAGAGTTATTC